TCCTTCGCAGGAACACCACCACTGAAAAATGATTGGGACACCGACCCTTGAACAGATCGGAACAGTGAAGCAGGTCGACGACGTGAGCCATTTTTGGGCGGTCAGCGGTCAGAAGAAGAGCGTCGCTAGAGAAGCTCAGCCACCATAGGCGTCTCCTTGAAACCTTAACATTTGATTGTTCTGGTAGAAAATCAGACTTAGTTTTACCTCCTCAAGGTATCTTCTAAGAGTTCATTGACGTGCACTTTGTCGTGAGTGCACTCAAAGTAATTTCAATACTAACACTTATACGTAGTATAGCGTAGTAGAGTTCGTATCCACAGGGAAAGGAATAACTTTCTTTTTATGTAAATAGTAAATAAAGGGGGGGTTTTGTTTGTTGAGTGATTTAATTAAATTAAACACGAAGATGAACGAGTTATATGGGATTAAATTCAAGAATAAAAGGGACTTGGTCTTGCTACTTTCCACTTGTTGATATATTTTAGTCGATCATTGTTATATCTATAACTTATCCCCTCTCGAATACTCAATCGAGGAGTATATCCAATTCATCGAGGGTAGTTATTAACAACGACCGTTCATTAATAACCCTTACTATTAACCAAATATAGAACAACGCCGTATACCGATTTAATAGTAGCATTTAACCTCTTTAACTCCTTGATGAAATCAATTGAGATTGATAACCTTAACACAACGGTTTCGGTTTAACCAACAAAATTAATCCCTCTTAAGTTTATTAACCCACGACCGTGCATTAATAAACCGAAGTTACTTACTTGTGAAACCATCAACGTTCAACCATCGGTTCGTTGATCGTTTCTAGTAATAATCAATGTTGGAACGTTAACTAATCGTCACTTAGCCACCCTCCAACATTAATATAGAGATAGATTAAGGGAAGAATTAATAATCAAAAGGAGAAAGTAAGAAAATAACTCACAACTTTAATAATCAACAAGCTTCAAGAGCAAAACCAAGAAATGGAAGTTTAGCTCCTCATTTGGAGACTAAACATGCTAAAAGAAATATAGAGAAATGCTATTCTAAACTGAGCTTAAGTATATGGAAGAAGGGATCATCATTTGTGAAGGAAAATGGGGTTATTTATAGGTGTTTTCAACACCCTGGGGCATTGACCCGCCCGGGTAAAAGGACATACCCGACCGGGTCAACGTCAAAATCAAATATTTCCCACGTTCTGGCGATCTTCGGCATGTTCTGGTGTTCCGGGTCACATCTGACCCGCCCGGGTCAAATAAGTGACCCGCCCGGGTCTAGTGACTTTCTCAGCAGTTTCTGATTCTTTGTCATACCCGACCGGGTGAAGTATTGTACCCGGTCGGGTTTGTGCTTCTGGGCAGCCAAATCTTATTTTTCTTCACTTCAAAGTCCTCCTTTTCAATACCCTAATTCCTAACTCTACTTTACAACTTACAAATGAAGATTAAAATACAATTACAACTAAAATCACACAAATGTTTACAAACTAAATAAAACGGTAAACAAACCACACAAATCAAACATAAAAACATACACTTATGCACTACTAATTAGTGCATATCATTCATCTATAATTATATTTGCTAATTTTCACTATATTTATGATCTCTCAGTTAACTTTATTAGTCTGTCTTCTGATTTCATCTGTATAGTTTTGCTATCTTCCATTCGAAGTCTACTAGACTGACCTCAGCATATTGTCTTCTCCTCCATTGGTATGTTATAGCTAGTTTCCTACACATTTTCCATGAATCTAAAAAGTGTTGAGAATTGATTTAATTTTTCTACCTTATGCTATTACTTAAATTGATTTCAGTATGAAAATTAAAGTGGTGGTGTATAGAATACTTTTCAGCTTGTACCCAAGCACCGTCGTTGAGTTCTAGTACTTGTCATGATTTTTCTTTCTTTTTTATTGGCACACTTGGAGCTGTCTTATTTTGAAACTGGAATGTACTTTGCTTAGCTACTGTTTTTGGCTTGCATAAAGGGGCATGTCCCTTGCTGTTTAGGGTCTGTTGTGGACGTGTGGTTGCTTTATGTTGGCTAGGTATTGTGTATCTGATTGCCCATATTTTGATTTGCTTTTTATTTTCTTTTGATCAGGGAGCTACTGTTTTTGACTTATAGTAAGGGGCCTGTCCCTTGCTGTTTGAGGTCTGTTTTTGTTTCTATATGTGAGTTAGGTATGCTACCGATTGACCATAGTTTGATGCTCTTTTGATCAGGAGTATGCCCCGTAGTTTCTGTATACTACATTTTTGAAATGAGTAAACATGTACAGTTTACCCGTTAAATTGATTTCAGTAGTTAATATATTCTCTATTTTCCTAAATGTAATCCAATGACCTTAACCAATAAATTATTAAGATTCCATACTCTTTGCTCCTGATCTTTGATCTGTTAATGCTATTGATTTGTTGCTATTTTCTTCTTTCTTTGTGTTGCTTTGGCAACACAATTTTATGGTGTGAATGTCATCGGCTATCAAATTCTTCTCCTCTCTTGGATAGTCCACCTGATACTGGATTTGACATTTCACAACCAAAAAGTGATATGCAGCCCATCAACATGGTATCCGTCAACAACTCTGAGAATGGTTATATGGATAATAACACTACTATTCTGAAAAATGAAGATCGATCGGTAGGGAATGATCCAGCTGATACCTTTAATGACAGTCCAGTTGCAGTTCTGGTTAAGTTGTTGACCAGCTTAAGACATCTGCCTCCTGCTATGCATCCAGTAGTTGTTGTCATGGCATTGACATGGGTAATTTCTCGATTATAATTACCTTTAGTTCCTATCTTATTTGGCTTTAAAAGTGCTATTTTCACTGTATATTATGAAGATCTCAATCATGGAATCATGGAAACCTTGTTATGAATAATATTATTTCTTGGCTTTAAACTCTTAGTTTATCTGTTTACTAATATGGTGTCCTCAACTCTTGCAACCAATTGTCTTGGTTTCCCTTTTTCCTTTTTGACACTGATTGGATGGGAAGAGAAGTCTATCATGGAGATGTTTCTGAAGTAAAAGCTTATAATCAAGGTGTCAGAGAATGGGCATTTGGTTTGCTATTGAATTCTGTAAGAATTCCTAATTGAACATCATTGTACATCATTCTTTTTTTGGTTTGGGATTCAATGTTGTTTTTGGTACGCAGGTTGTGAACATACATTGTAGCTAGCAAGCCAGTGCTCCAATTCCTCCAAACTACTCAACCTTGAGCTACTTGATGTAAGTAGATCAGTTTTGTTTTACATGTTTAGGACATTTTATTGTAAGACTACTTATAAATAATGAAATATCTTTTCAGGTAATTGCTTAATTCCCTATACTACTTGAACATGCGCTAGCTTGACATACGTATGTATACATTTTTTTCTTACTTCAAAAAAATATTCTCTATTTCTGTGATGCTTAGGTGGACATAAAAATACGAAAATATGACTATTGTCACTTTTTAAGATCTTGAATCAACTAAGTTTAAGATTTACTTTAGCTATCATTATAACAAGCCCTTATATAACCTAATCAATGGGTTTTAAAGCTTGTTATTTGTATTCTGTTTGATTTTAGATTTCGGGAATGGAAAGGTGTTCAAACTTCAAAATCGAGTGATGTTAGGAGAGCAAAAAGTATACTCAAGTCCATAAATAGGTTACTCGTTTCAATACATTGTTAGTAGGGCATATACTACTTGATTATGTAAGAATATTTGATAGAATCTGCATGAATGCACTTTGTTTGAAGTATTTGTTAACTTGACAGAAATGTCTTATTCATCGGTTTGATTAATGTGTCTTTGTTAAGGCCCTTCTGTTTTTTGTCTCCGTTATGTCAGGGTACTAATGTTTGAGAATAATTGCTGAAATATTTGATGAAATTCTTCTGGGCTGATAGTTTTTCCTCTGGATTTTGAGTTTCAGGCGGAAGTGTTCTTATCCATGAATTTTACTCCAAAGAAGTTTCAAATCCTGTCCATTTGATTGTTGCCACTGACATCATGTTTTTAGGCCTATAATATAAAGGTGGAAATGCAATTGGTTGTATTTTTTTTACGTCATAGCAGTTTTAATTTACATTTTAACTTGTAATTAATTTAGTTTAGTATGTTATTCTGATCACGCTGATTAAAATTAACTTATCTGATTGAGAGTTTGTCTTTATGATTGGATAATTGAGCTTTGAGCTTATGTTGTTTCTGTATTTCAGGATGTTGTGAAGTGAATATATAGTAATTATATTATATTTCAAGATATTGAATTTTTATTTTTTTTGAAAAATAGACTCTTTAGCGTCGACACGTCGACGCAAATGATCCTTTTTTATTTTTCGAATCTCTGACTTTTTGCGTCAACATTGTCGACGCAAAAACTAAATTTTATTTGCGTCGACAAATGTGGACGCAAATATACTATTTGCGTCGCATCTTTTGCGTCAACACATTTGCGTCGACATGTTGACGCAAATAAAGTATTTGTGTCGACTTTTGACTTTTAGCGTCGACTTTTTGTCGACGCAAAAAACAATTTTTCTTGTAGTGACATGTAATTCAACAATGTTCACGGTACACATGTGACATAAGAGAAATAGACACATAAAATAAATGAATGACATAAATTTCAATCTCTTTATTTCCATAATTTTATACGAGTACCACGTATAATTTGATAAATTTTTTCGTAATAATATCAACCACAATTTCTATATTCAAACACCATTTTAGATATTTTGGAGAAAATTTACTAAAAAGTAAAAACACATAAGACCATTCAAATAAGGAGATATATATTTTACTTCCTCCATCCCATTAAACTCTGTAAACTTTCCTTTTTTTTGTTGTCCCAAAATTTTGCTACTTTCTCATTAAAGTAACTATTTTGCGGTTCTGCTCATTTATCGATCTGTCCTCTGCACAAACTTTCATCACACAATTTTTATTATTCTTATTTCTCACTTAATTCAAAGAATGCAAAATCCATATATTAAGACAGAGGTAGTAATACAATGTTGAAGAGAAATTTTTAGTGTACATGAGTTGTACCAAGAGTATACACAAAACTCCCCAGTTGCCTATGTACAAAGGCAATCCGTTAGAAAAATGGTAGAATTTGATGTCAAAACCCCCTTATTGTCTGACACATACAATGTAAGATTTGTGTACACATTTTGTGTACATCTAGAATGACCCAATTTTTAAAGCTCCGACTAAATCATAGGGCCTAGGAAATGGTGCTATACTTCCCTTCTATCTTTCAAGCAATCAAAATAAAAGTACAAGAGGTTGTGACATGTATATACCTTTATCATAACCATTATTTATAGCTGCATCCTGGGCGGTCTGAATCGCGATGGTTGGAGTGAGAAGGAAGAAGGCTGAGAAAGCCGCCGGTAGGAGGCGGCGGCATCTCTTGAAAGAGGAAAGGAAACTCATCCACCACCCCAGGCAGTAGCGGCTGCTGCTCTTCCACAAGTTTGAGTTCAGTCATTGCTTCTTGCTGACGGCGGTATATCTTATTGTTCATCAACTATTTTTCGTTTTCAAACAGCTTAATTAATTAAGGAAATCATATAATAAAATCAACATTTTAGCTAGTATCTAAGATTGTGTCATTTTTCACTAGTGAAATTACACAATATGAATGTTGTATCTACTTTAGACACTGTGTTTGCCGTTTGGTCAGTGTATCACTTTAATATTTTTGGGAAGAATTGCAATGTATTATTATCAATTCGAACATCACATTTGAATAGTTTAGATTTATACGTAGTATATGAAAAAATGTCATGTATAATATTAATAAAGTTTCTCTAGACAAAAAATGACTAGTAATATTTTTGGGCAAAAATATGATTAGTCACTGTGTATGACTCAGCATTAACTAATCACTATAGTATATTTTATAATGACAAGTCACTATAAATGATGAGTCACTGTGAACTAGTCACTAAATATGTCATTTCATTTCTTTGAAAAATTATAAAATAAGTCATATTTTGTGTTTTGTTTTTAATTTAGTAATATTAATGGAAAAAGGCTTTTATATATATATATTTCACAATGGAGCACGTATTATTATTTTATATTATTCGAATTATATATAACAATTATTGCATAGATAAAGTGTTAATATCTATCTTTTTTAAAGTTCAAATGAATGTTTTCATTTAGACTTGTTTCAATTTAACTGAAAACATTTGGAGTTCTAGCTCTATGAAAACTTTTATTTTTAAGTCACATGACTCTTTCCTTAATGAATGAAAAAGTTTACTCACCCAATTGCACATATCTTCATTCTGCTTCTCCAACATTTTCTCCTATGATAAAAAACAATACAAAAGATTCAAAATAGCCAATTAAAATGTTGAAGACTAACAAATGAGATTCAATAGAAAAACTATATTGAATTATCAACAACAGGTAGGTTAATAGTAGTAACATCGTTCAATAATCAAAAGAAATAGGTTCAATTTAAGTAGCTATTTTACCGTCCTCCTGAGATTTTCCAACTGTTGTTGCATCAACTCCAACTAGAACATGCAAAACAATAAAACAGTTACTTCACATATTAATTACCAAACTCGATTGGCTTGTAAAAGATATATATGATGCAACAAATTATATACTACTCCATATTTCTTTTGCTATCCGTAATAATTAATGATGAACGGACATTTATTTAGGGTAATAATTAAGTATTCGTACATCAATAGACATCATAACCCATGTTTTTTTTTGTGGAGGAATCATAACCCATGTTTTAAAATGCCCAGAAAGGTGGAATCGAAAATGGAAACTCAAGAACTGATCTCAAAGGCGTCATATAAGCCCAAAAGGCGTGATATGCAAACTAGACAGATCTTCAAGTTAGACATTTTGGGACGGAGTATTATATGTAATCATGTTACACATTTAATTAATTTAGTAATAAAATGTATTCCTTCTGTCCCATTTTACATGTCTTACTTTTTTTTTTGGGTTGTCCTAAAATAAGTGTCATCTTTCCCTTTTTGGAAAAAAATACGTGGTCTATAACATTTCACTTTATTATACTCAAATCTCAATCACAATTTCTACCTTTCAACCACTTTATTAATATTTGTGCCAAAGTCAAAGGAGATACATAAAATGGGACAGAGGTAGTAACATTATACATATACTACCTAGTATTATTATGTATTTTGAAATTGTTTTAACACAACTATCAATTTGAGTTTGGATTATAATCTATTAATATTATAAGTCAATTTAAAACTATTAATACTAATTATAACGAGAGCGATTAATAGATTTCATGAATATAATATTCATTTCGACTTTCGAGAAGTAATTACTAATATATTAATCATATGGGGGAATGATTAATTGACTAAATTAATAGTGGTTAATAATATGAGTTCTTTACAAAAATATTACTAAAATAAAACATATTTACACAAATATGATTATTAGTTACTAGAATGTAGTGTCATAGTAACATAAGTTACTATAATTTCAATATCACTCTAGTCACTAATCATATTTTTGTAATCAATCTTCATTTTAGTCATAATTATGTGATTATTTCTAATAATATTGTGTGTTGGATCCTAGCTAAATATTGGGAGGGAGTAACTAATTCTTTTGGTATTGGTCAATGTTAAATTACTTAAGAACCCCAATTAAAAGAAATAACTGATTATATTAAAATGACAAACCAAAATCATAATTGGCCCAATTTTTTAAAAAATAGAAGAAAAGGGAGGATTCCCTATCCTTCTCTCATTTGTTTGAGTGGGTCACTCAGAGAGCGATAGTTGAAATTGTCGGAAATTGTCATTCAAGGGAGGCTATTTCGTGTTCCATGGGCCCGTAAGCCGCTCGGCCTTTTCTCAATGCCCAAGAACATCATTTTGGATCATCCTTGATCGGGGGTTTTACCATTGGGCTTCCATAATAGACATATTTAAAGTGGGAATGGCTATCTGTACTGTTTATAATTAGTGTGATGAACATGAGATTACCTAAGTAATCTAAATAGGATTTTGGTGGATTTAAAATGTATAATGTATGTGAAGAATGTGTCATATAATTTCAAAATAATTTATTAATACATTAATACATAAACGTAATCAAAGTATATAAATATGGAGTTTGAAAACTTTTATTTAATAAGAGTATGTTTACCTTTCTTGCTCGAACTTTTCTATATGAGATCTCTAGTTTTTTCTCCATATCGTCAAGATCCTTGTATTGTATGGAGTTCAAACTCTCTCCTTTGTATCTCTCAATGCTCAATTGAAGATCCAGAGTTTTCTCCCTCAATGCACCTATCTCATCCTATGAATATCATTAAACATAATAGTAGTATTGTTTAACTATAAAATATTATATGTTTTATATATAAATATATGTGGAGATTAGGAGCATCTACATTCGTGATTCTAACATAATCTGATTGTTTGTGATTCTTACCTTTTAATATTTGTCACATAAATGTTTTGGAAATAATCTCATCCTCTGTGAATTATCTTCAACCATCATCACTATTTAAAAAAAAAAAATTCCACCACTGAATCTTTAAAAAAGAAAAAAATATTGGAATCCAAGGTTTCCGAAACGTAGTGAAACGGGTTTCCAAATTTTTCTTAATTACGGAAACGGTCCCGAAACAGGAATTTGAAGTTTCCGAGTTTCCGAAACGCTTCCGAATTTCCGAAACGTGAAAATGTGAGCTGTGAGAGTTTCCGTGTTTGATAGCTGAAAAATTTATATGACAAATATAATGATATTAATCATCTTGATTAAATACGGTGTATTATAATATCTCCTAATCATTTACCGTACCGTACTTATTAAATCAGTCATTCGAACTACTACGTACATATTTTCACTCCTACTGTATAATTGATCAACTTTGTTTTTACGAAAGTGTTTTGCTACTATTTGTAATATCTACAAATTAAACATTTCGGTGTCAGATAAAGATCATATCAAACAACATCATATTTAAACCTAATCAGGTCAGCCTTAAATTATTGTAATATACACATAATAAAGTTCAGTCCTATTTGGGAATATTGTACATTTGTATATTTTATATGTAGAAATATATGAGTAGTACTAGCTGCAATATGGATCCCTGTTTTCTCTCCATTCAGATTTAGTTTCTTTTCCTTATTTGTATGTATGTGGGGCGGATGAGATCCTCTCCCTATAGGGAGTGGCGTGTAAAGGATAATCGTTAACATTATCTCATCTATTTGTATTTAATTAATTATTGTAATTATCTCCTAATAGTTAGAGGTAGAATCTTATCTTCTTATCAACTGTAACTATATATACATACCCATGTAATCTCTTTCAAATATAAAACACACATCGTTTACATGGTATCAGAGTCACGTAGAATTAATCTACGATCTTCCTAAACATATCATTTTTTTTCTCTCGATCCTTACCATGACTATCACGTCTGATACTGAGGTTATCACTCTTACTGCTCCTACCAATCTTCCGATCAAGTTGACTGCTGCTAATTTTCCGGTCTGGCGGAAACAGGTTGAAACCACCTTCACCGGTTTTGATCTGCTTGGCTATATCACTGGCACCTTGCGGCCACCTCCTAAATTTACTGATGAGGCCAACAAAGTTCCTAATCCCTGTTACTTTACTTGGTATCGACAGGATCAAATTCTTATTAGCGCTATTCTTGGTAGTTGCACTGAATCTGTTCAGCCGCTACTCTCTTCTGCTAATACGGCGCAGGAGGCCTGGGATATCCTTGCCTCCAGTTATGCCAGCGCCTCTCCAGGTCGTATACTTGCTCTTAAGAGTAAACTCTCCAAGAACCCTCGGGGTACTCGATCTATTGCAGAGTACATGAAAGACATGCAACAGATTGCATCTGATTTGGCGTTAGCCAAAAGTCCAGTTTCTGATGCCGATCTCCTCATCTCTATTGTCAATCAACTTGGGGATTCTTATCAATCCATTGTATCGGCGCTACGTGTTCGGAACACTCCCACGACTATGCTTGAATTATCTGGCATTTTGGAAGATCATGAACGTCTGCTTCATTCTTCCGAAGAAGCCGCACATTCTCTTCTAGCTACGGCACATGCTACTGTTCGCCAGCCATCTTATGTTCCTGCTCCAGCCTCTCCTAGAGACTCTCAGGTCAATGGTCGTGGCCATGGTGCTTACTCTAGATCCTCCTCCCGTGGTGGTTCGTCTTCTTCTCGCTCTCATGGTCGCCAAGGTCCCATCTGTCGATTTTGTCAAATCCCAGGTCATGTAGTACGTGAATGCCGTAAACTTGCTCGGTTCTTGCGTGACAATCACTACACTACTTCCTCTGCTCCAGCAATTCACAACACTGTTACTGCTTCTCCTACTTCAACGCCTGGTTCTTCTCCATGGATGTTTGACAGTGGGGTGTCTCACCATGCTACATCCCATGTCTCTTCTTTGCATGACTTCTCTGCCTATGACGGTCCCGACGAGATTCGCCTGGGCAATGGTAACACTCTTCCCATATCTCATATTGGTCACACCACTGTTTCTACACCAACCCGACTCCTCTCCTTAGCTAATGTTCTGTGTGTCCCTCGTCTACATACCAATTTAGTTTCTGTTTCTCAACTATGTCGTACTAATTCAGTTTCGGTTGAATTTTTTTCTTCCTTTTTTATTGTCAAGGATCGGCTCACGGGGACTCCTCTCATGCGGGGTGATCGAGAATGTCAATGGGGTTTACTATGCACCCGTGTTACCTTCACCACAACTTCATTCCATCACATTGGCTACAGTGTCGGATTTACATCACTGCTTTGGGCATCCCTCCAATAAAATTTTGTCTCTTATGTTGAATAAATGTCATTCTCGTGTGGATTCTAGTCTGCTTAATAATTTTTATTGTACTTCCTGCAATATTAATAAAAGTCACAAACTCCCCTTTTCTCAGAATACTTTAGCCAGTTCTCGTCCCCTAGAACTCATTTATTTTGATGTTTGGAGTACTAAACAAATGTCATGTGATGGCTATCTCTATTATGTTATTTTTGTTGATCATTTCACAAAATATACTTGGCTATACCCCCTTAAAAATAAATCTGATGTCTCTGTAATTTCCCCCCAATTCAAACGTCTAGTTGAAAATCGATTTAATCACAATATTATCTCTTTTTTAATTGACAACGGTGGGGAATTTATTAAGCTATTACCCTTGCTTAATTTGCATGGCATATCTCATTTAACCTCACCGCCTCATACCCCTGAGCATAATGGTACGGCTGAAAGACGTCACCGTCATATTGTTGAAACAGGGCTATCCTTATTACATCATGCTTCTCTTCCTCTGTCCTACTGGCCTCACGCCTTTCAAACTGCCGTCTATCTTATTAATCGGATGCCCACGCCTTTACTCCGAAATCAGTCTCCTTATCAAGTTTTGTTTCAACAAGCACCCAATTATAATAAATTGCAACCTTTTGGGTGTCTTTGTTTTCCCTGGTTACGTCCCTACGCTAATCACAAATTACAACCTCGCTCTATTCCTTGTATATTCTTAGGTTATTCTGTAACTCAGTCTGCCTATAAATGTCTTGACCCGACTAATAACCGCTTGTATTTATCTCGGCATGTTAAATTTATCCCAAATAAATTTCCTTATCCCACTTTACATTCGGTTGGTTCTTTACAACCGCCAGTTCCTCCTACTCCCCTGCCCCTTCTTTTGCCTAAAACCTCATCCACATTTTCTACACCTTTATCTCCACCTACTATGCCTCGATCCTCTCCACCCCTTACTTCCACTTCATCCTTGTCAGACACATTATCCACTGCACCATCTTCTTCCAGTATATCTCCCAATTCCTCAAATTCCATCCCTGATGTTTCAATTCCCCCGTCTTCTTCATCCTTTCCCAACACAGCTGCTCCTGCTCTTCCAGTTCGTCCTCCTTCTACCCGTCCCCGTCATCCAAATCCTAAATTCTATGGTCCAGCCTTTATCAACCAGTCCACAGTTCATCCCTTACCTTCTTCTCTTGAACCGACCACCGTTGCTCAGGCTCTCCGAGATCCACTATGGCGGAAAGCCATGGATGAAGAATATGCGGCCTTGGTTAGAAATCATACTTGGGACCTTGTCCCCCGTTCTAATCAGCCCACTGTTGGCTGCAAGTGGGTTTTCCGCATCAAACGACGTCCCGATGGATCCATTGATCGATATAAGGCTCGATTAGTCGCCAAAGGTTATTCCCAGGAACTTGGTCGGGATTATTCTGAAACGTTCAGTCCGGTTATGAAACCAGTCACAGTTCGGATCATTCTTACTCTGGCATTGCATCATGGCTGGCAGGTTCGCCAACTTGATGTAAACAACGCGTTTCTCAATGGTACGTTACATGAGACTGTTTTTCTTGAGCAGCCACCTGGATATTCGGATCCCGTATCTCCTGGCCATGTTTGTCACTTGCGGAAGGCTCTTTATGGACTCAAACAGGCTCCTAGGGCGTGGTACATTGAGCTGTCCAGATTTCTTCTTCAATTTGGCTTTCGCAACTCCAAGGCCGATCCATCATTGTTTGTTTATTCTTCGCGTGACACTCTATTATACTTTTTGGTCTATGTTGACGATATTGTACTTACTGGAAATAATGAGGCATTAATCACTCATTTTATCTCGGTACTATCTGCCCGGTTTTCCTTAAAGGATTTGGGAACTCTCAGCCATTTTCTTGGCATTGAAGCTATCTTCACAGGTTCTGGATTATTTTTGTCTCAATCCCAATACATTACTGATATTTTGTCTCAGTTTCATATGGAGGGTGCTAAGCCGGTTTCTACACCTATGTCCTCCACGGACTCTCTTCCACCTGCTGATCCTACTGGGGCTGTTGACATTTCTGATTATCGGCGCCTACTTGGGCTTCTTCAATATCTCGGCTTGACTCGTCCGGATGTGGCCTTTGTTGTCCATAAACTGTCTCAATATTTGCATGGTCCTGTGGCATCTCACTGGTTGGCTGCCAAACGTCTCCTTCGTTACCTTAAAGGCACATCACACCATGGTCTTCTGCTTAAGGCCGGTCAACGCCTGGATCTTACCACATTTGCTGATGCGGATTGGGGAGGTACTTCCACCATGGGCCGTTCTACTACGGCTTATATTGTTTACTTTGGCTCTAATATTGTTTCATGGAAGTCTGTTCTTCAGCGATCAGTTTCTCGTTCCTCTACAGAAGCAGAGTATCGAGCCCTAGCTGATGCCAGTGCAGAAATGCTATGGGTCAAAAATCTTCTACGAGAAATTGGATTTGACTTACCTCATACCCCTCGTCTCTACTGTGATAATCTCAGCGCTACATACGTGTGCAAAAATCCGGTTTTTCATTCCCGAATGAAACATCTCTGCTTGGATTATTTTTTTGTTCGTGACCTGGTTGCAGCTAATAATCTCTCCGTCTATCACATCTCTACCAAAAATCAATTAGCTGATGTTCTCACTAAACCCCTTGGTCGTGCTATGTTTCTTCACTTTCGGTCCAAGATTGGAGTCTCCGACGGATCCTCCATCTTGCGGGGGCGTGTAAAGGATAATCGTTAAAATTATCTCATCTATTTGTATTTAATTAATTATTGTAATTATCTCCTAATAGTTAGAGGTAGAATCTTATCTTCTTATCAACTGTAACTATATATACATACCCATGTAATCTCTTTCAAATATAAAACACACATCGTTTACATGGCAGACCTAGAAAAATAATGACACAGGGTTCCTACTCTAATGTAACTCTAACTAATATTACATCTGTTCCGAAAAAGTTAGCCATATTAAATTTTCTTAGTCAATAATGACAAATTTTAAATAATGACTTTAATCATGAAAATGTTTTGAATAAAGAACATTTTGACATATTTTTCACATTCAAATAATTTGTTATTAAAAGATATCATGGGTCAAAATTAATTATTTAATTGTCACTGATATGCGGACTATGGTTTAGGATTTTTTTAAAAGCCAATACAAAGTAGTTTTGATATTTTAGGATACTAAACAGGGAAAATAACTTTGCATAATACCAACTATCTTCCATGAATCAAGAATAATACGTACTTTAGAAATAATTTTCAATAATAACAACTATTTTAGTGTAGAACAAAATAAAATGGAGTTACTTTTTTACAAGAAATCCAGTCATTTAAGACATCAAAAACTAATATCAACAATAAATAAATGAAATTTGAAAATACGGTGACTTATTTGATATGGGACTAAAATATTAGTTTTTGATGAATTAATGACTGATTTTTAGTGCAAATTTGATATATATGTATTACTGTTGGTATATATTCAAATAGTTTGTAATAGTAACAATAGTTATTTCTCTAAATGAGACTAAAATTTTATAAAATTACATAAATAAGACTATATGTTTATAATTCCCTAAATATGACTTATTTGATCCTATTAAAATAGGAGTAAAAACGTTTTGAAATTTCAAAATAGGAGTATCATGTTTTTATTCCCTGAATAGCAGTAAATTTCTGCGAAGTTTGACATTACAAGGCTTTTAACATGTCATTTTATTCCAAACTTGGCAGATTACTCCTATTAAGGAAATAAAAAACATGATACTCCTATTTTAGAATTTCAATTACGAGTCTATGAGTCATATTTTAGGAAGAAAATAGTGTTGATCTTATTTGGGCAATTTGTCAATGTTGTAGTGTTATTCAAGGTCTTGACTCTTCTAAAAAAAATTGTAGTAGATGTCTTTTTCCCTAATAGATCTAAAAAAACAAAATAGAGGCAACCAAGGGATTTGAATCCTGTACCTCTAATGGGGAGAAAGATCTAACTTCTAGGATACTACCATTGCTCTACAAGAATCACTACAATCACAACTAGCTTTTAACGTATATATATCATTCTTTTATTCATTTATATAAAATATACGGAGTATATATAATACATATAGGTATTTTTTGGAAGTGCACGGGGTCCCGGGACCCAATGGGACCCTTAGTGGGTCCGCCTCTGCCTATAGGTGCATATAATAAGAGCATCTCCAGCGGTTAGCTAATTGCATTCATAGCTGGACTAATGACATATGAGATTGTCCATTGAAGATGCTCTAATCCTTGGGGATTATATGAGATTGATTGTGACCCTCCATATCACTTCCAATCATGTGTTCCACTTACGCACTAAGCATATTGAGATTGATTGTCATTCTCTTATTTATTGTCCAAGTTTGGTGTCCTCAACCCTCAAGCTCTAACTTCAATGGTATTGGAGAATATTGTACATTTGTATACTTTATATGTATTTGCGTATACCGCATGAATAAAACAAGGAATAAATTCCAGTTTTGGTCCTGTGAGTTTTAGGTCAATTTCATATTTAGTCTACATCTTTCACTTTGTCTACTTTTGATACATGACTATTGGGGTTTTGCCCAAATATGGTCCTTCCGACATTGTTTCTGATGATTAAAATCGTCGGAAAAGGACCACAAATGGTTAAAAACACTAGTTAAGTACCAGTCTATTTACCCTCTCTGCTAGTACACTTTTATCAAGACCAAAATGAATTTAAATGAGTCAAACTATGGATGCTTTCTTTTGGACTGATTTTCAGTCTCAGACCAGATCAGACCAGATCAAATCAGACCAGACTTCCGTAGTTATAAAATACACGGAGACCAGACGTCTATTGGCCAGATCAGACCAGACCAGACCAGATCAGACCAGTCCAGCAAATTTCAATCCAAAAGAAAACATCCTAGTACGTTCACAACAAAAAAAATCACTTAAATTAAAACATCCTAATCACGTTTACCTTTTCATCTTATTTCCAAAGTTTCTTATGTAGTACGCAGTATATTTTTAATTTCTCTTTCATACTTTAGTTTTGTACACCATATTTGTATTCACAAATGCGGGAAATTAGTCACCACTAGTCCACTAGTACTCTTTGTACTGTTGTAGTCTAAATACGTACTCCGTAATACTACGTACGTACGAATAATTGAATCGCATCATGTCGTAGTAGGAATTAGGATACGTAATAGAGTAAATTAATTACGCGCAGTAAATAAATAGGAGTAAACTAATTAACCACAAATAGAAATAATATAATACGTACGGTAAGTACGTTCGTACCTTGCTAACTTCGTGATTCTGTGGCAAAGACGACGCACCAGTGGCATACAGATATTTCTCAATCATTTCCTCCATACTGCACAATTATTCAGGTAATAGAAAATATATTAAACCAGCAATTACATTTTAATTTAATTATTTGTGACGGTCAGTAAATAATACTAGTATGTTCCATTAAGGTCTATCGAATCGGAAAATTTTAGAGTTATCGCCATGAGCATTCAAGAATTTAGGTTAGACAGTTAGACTAAGATAAAAAGTAATTATATTTAACTTAAATCTTAACAAATTAAGTGAGTTAAATATAAAAATTGAGAAAAAATACACTAAAAATTTGGGGAAAATTTGTGATATTTCTCTAACCTTCAGGCTACTATAGCCCTAAGGCTACGATAGTCATTGTGCTATTTTCAAGATTTCAAAAACAACGTACGCCTAATATAATGACACAATTAATCTCAAATTTGTATTTTGTGTTTCTTTTTTTTAGAGGAATTTTGTGTTTCTATTTGTGCATATAATTTAATAATGCATGCCGGACATTTCTAGAGATTACAAAACATGACTTAATGAGAGGTTTAGAATTATATTGGCATCAGATTTTCATAAATTGTGTGAAATAATTATGAAAGACAAAAAGATCATGCATGCGTACTTTACTACTCATTTAAGTCATTTTCATCATTATATTTTCATTTACCCAGTGCCGCAAAGGCTCTCACCTAGGTGGGGTTAGGGGGGTCGGATTTACGCAGTCTTACCCCGGTACTAAAGCACAGAGAGACTGTTTCCGGATGACCCATAGTGAAAATCGCGTCAAAAGTTGCATGGACTGATTGCTGCTTCATAATAAAGAAGCGCAGACAGTTTAGTGAGTCATTTTGCTTTATTCCATCATATTCTCAAGCCAAAAAATAATCAATCTTTGGCTCCATTGCAAATGATGGAAATTACAACTCATTTAAGTATTTAAACAAATTAAAACCCACTGGAAAATTATAAAAGTTAGCGGCCAGTCCAGTCAAAGACACTCATCAAGATGGTCAAACCTATTCCACTGGGGAGTATATACACATATACCTTAGTGATGGAGAGCAGTAATGGTAGCGCTTCCCTTTGGCAGAGAAGATGATGAGGGCAATTTGGGCATCACAGAGAACAGAGAGTTGATGAGCTTTCTTGACGAGTCCACCTTTTCTCTTGGAGAAACTCACCTGCCTGCTTGTGCTGTTCTCAATCTTCTTCACCTCCACTTTTCCTCTCCCCATTTCTAGCTCTTCTTCGCTCAGCTAGCTTTCAAAGTTCAAACAATTAAGAAAGTTCAAGCTAGAAACCCTTCTTACAGACTGAGATCATTGAAATCAAACAAGGGAAATCAATAAGCCCTTTAATTAAAAAAAAAAAACCTTAAAAGTCATAAAAGTTGAAGTACCTTAAAAGTTAAAAGGGCTGTTCTTGAACTGACTGGAATTGCATATGTTTGGTAGCTATAGCCAAGCTTTCTGAGTTCAGGGTTTTGCTGTTGACTCGTAACAAACAAGCGCAGGGCGAAAAGGGTAATAAAGTACTTTGCATTATTATGCATACATAAAAGACATGCAAGTGATGTATAGTAAGTAGTCTTACTGGGTGGGGTCCACAAACATGCTTCCTGAGCCTATTGCCACTTTGAGTATCCTTAACCAGTATTTACAGTGTAATCATTGTAGCTAGGTTTCCCAAAAAGTGGAACGAATCATGGTTATGATCTTTAATGGGGTCAACACTCTCGATCATATGATTTGTTTCCATAGTCTATTATTCCACGTTTAACGGTTGACTGGTCTCGAAAAAGAACAAATATTTATATTGACCCATGTTTCTTAACATACACATAGTAATTAAGCTTATGGGGAAGTGCCATGCGTGGTAATTTGAACATATAGACACTCTTTAGAATGTCAAGAAAGTTAGCTATTCAACGTTATGTTGTTTGGAATTTGGGCTGAGTATAATGTTTCGTTTGTACGAGATACATGTTTCAAAAGCACACAACAAACATAGTATGGGTTAAGAAAAAAAATTGTTTAAACTGCTAGGTTGTTCACCAACACTATTTTTTAGTTACAGACATGCAAATAGTTATGCTCAGTGTACTACAAGGTGCTGGTTGATTGGGTGGTGGCTGGCTGCCTAGCGCCTAATTCCCGCCTAGCTAGGCCAGTAGGCTGGCACCTAAGCATTTCTTCTAATTTTAAATAGTATTTTAATTTAATCTTTTGAGTTTTAATATTGTTTGTTAATAAATTTACATAATATTTTGACAACAAAACGGTATTAATATGGATTTTACATGTGTTAAGTTTTCCCTAAAATTCAATCACCCCCATTGTAGCATCATCGTTGTCGACCACATTATCCCCCCACCAATCACAGTTACAAATGTGTGGTGTGTTGTAAGGTAAATATTCATAACTATTGAACTAGTAGGGAGTTGGCCGGAGAGTAAGGTGATCTAAGATATATGTCAGTATGTTACATGTGGTTTGAAAAATCTAGATAAAGAGATCGAATTGTATCATGCAAGCATTTTTGTAAAAACACTTTGGGAAAGATGGAAAACATTTTTGAGTCCTACACAACATTCGATTATATTAATTGTCTCTAAACATCAAAAGAAAAGTGCAGAACAACACGGTACGTTTAAGAATTCAAATTGTTAAGAGTTTTTTGTATAGTCCTTTTTTTTTGTCTCCAGTTTTTTGTATAGTCCTTGATTAATTAAGTATACTCATTGATCTCCTCCTTTTAAATGATACTTTGTATATAAGTATTAAGTATATCGTATGTGACCAATCATATATACACTACTACAAAATGATGCTTTGCCTACAAAATTTCAGCATACAAAACTAAATTTGTAGTCTAACGTCTCTTCTCGTGACAAAATAAATAATTTGTGGGGATAATATTTTGACTACAAATATTTGTTTTCCATACAAACTACTCTTGTCGACAAAAACTTCTTTTCTATACAAAACTTTATTTCGTGGGGCTAATTCTTTTCCTACAAACGTGTTTTGCATACAAAATTAATTTGTAGTCTAAAGTGTTTTGTTACGACAAAATATATGATTTGATGTGGAGAAAGTATTGTCACTACAACTATCACTTTTCCATACAAAATACGCGTGTCTACAAGTTTTACCTAGCTATACTTCATTCTATCTCATGGAGAAAGTTTTTTTAAGCGGACTTAAAACTTTCTCATCCGGTATGATCTAGTTAAGCTTTATTCTATCTCTTAAAGTCTGTAATGGTCTTGTGAATGTGTATTGTATCACTCATATTGTTTAGGTTTGGTTTGATCTGCTTTGCCCTTATTGGACCATATCAACCTTCTATAGTTATAAAATACATAAGGATCAGACATTTGCAGATCAGAACAAACTTAAACAGATCAGACTAGACCAATAAATTTCAGTCCAATTAAAAACATCCTTAATCATGTTTGCTAAATACGGAATCGGAGATTTTATACTCCGAGTGAAAATAAATATAAAATTGTTAATTGGATGATATTCACGAATAGTACATACTCCTTATACATTAGAGATCCAATAAAATACTCCCTTTGTCCATTAAAATTTGGTCGACTTTGATCGGTACGAGAATTAATAAAGTAAAAAGTGTGTAGTTGAGGTTTGTGCATAAGAAAGATAATTAACTGAAACTACAAATGTTTACTTAAAAAGGAAACTCACAAAATTAATGGGACAATAAAAAAGAAAAGTTAACAAAGTTTTAAGGGGCAAAAAAAGTATGTAAAAAGTTAATTAGAGATCCAATAATATTCTACCTCTCTCAAAACACTTCATTATTTCATAAAATTTGGATAATGATTTTGATTAGTATAATATTGTGAAAATTATAAATTTTATACATTTATAAAGCTATTGTTAACAAAAAAACATTTTATTTTCATTTTGATATTATAAACTAGTTTTGTACCCGGGCGTTGCCCCGGGGGTGCAACTCCCGTATGAAACATTTAGTTTATAATTTTGTATATGTGTGAAATATATCTTTCTTATGAATTTTCCGATTCTCATTGCCAAAAGCACTAAAACATTTATAATTTGATATAATATTATATAAGAATAAAGAAGTCAATTAGGATCCGTAACACATTAAATGACTAAAACACATTAAAAATTGAAAGGTTGTGTTTCTAAATTATGGGAAATCTCTTTATAGACAACAATTATGATCTTGGTGGAAAACCCTTGATCTTTAGAGCGAATTAAAATCTTCGATTCATCTTTGCCCTTGACCCTTGATATGTAATTGGTCGTGAATGAAGATATTTTTCTCGAGATATAGTCTGATTTGGGATAGAGACTGACTTTTGCTCTTGTTGATGCTCGTCGCAAAGCATAAGATATTCGGGAATTGCTTCATGTGAAATTCAACAGTGTAAATGACTGCATAATCAATGAAGGATATTAGTATGTACTTATATTTATATTTATTTAAACCAAGACACCATTGGAGAGAACTTACGTGCTTTAGGTACTCTGAATAGTTTTCTATCTTTAATTTCTTCTATGAGACGATTGAGCTTGATCTTAAAGATTCTAACAACGATATCGGGTATGTGTTTAAATTTGAAGTTTATAAAATAATTATAAAAAAATATTTTATCTAAATTGTAAATTATAAATAATTTGTTATTCATATTTATTTGATATTGTTATCTAACATCTATCTAAAACGGTGTCTGACTTTCATGCTTACAAGACATGGTAAGCATACGATTATCTAAAAATTAGCTGCCTAAACCTTTCTATGCTGTAAAGTTCACTAGTAGGAAATTGAGCTCTTGCGTCGCTTTATATAGACTTTTAAAGGCGCTAAAAAGCGTCGCAAGTATTTTTACCGGCGCTTGTAAAAGCAATGGCTTTGCTTGTGTCGCTAGACCTTCTTACGGCGCTAATGATTGGCATCGGTATAACACTATAAAAGCGTCGCTAAATATGAAGCGCTTTTCAAGCACCTATTGAGGTTCATATTTAGCGCCGCAAAAGAGTTTACTGCACTTTAAAAGCGCCTTCGTAGCATTCACCATATTCATTACGGAGTATTACTTTTTATTTTGCTCCTATTACTTCTGCAGTAAGTTTTATAAAGCTTAAAATTATACGAAGTATTAAGAATCTGACATTATAGTAAATGAACTTATATTAATGAATCAATCCAAATCATAAAATATAAGAAGAATCTGACAGTGTTCCTAAAATGTTTAATTCCAAATCTAAGATACAAAAATTCTATTATATTAATGAATCAATCCAAATTAACCAAGAGTGCCTTCAGCTTCAGTACTTCTACAACATAATCTGCAATAACAAAAGAAACACAACAAAATGAACAATGTATTGAAGGAAAATATATAAAGTTCATGAACTAAGCATTCAAACTTTTCAAGTACATCAAATGTGCCACAAAATTGATATAAAATAATATTCCTAATGTTCCAAATCAAACTTGGACATCTAATACTTGGCAGTGCATTGCATTACCCGAATCAACCCTGAATCCAACCAACTTTAGTACATCCAAAGCATAATCTGCAAAACCAAAACAAACAGAATAATGAGCAATGGATTGAAATAAAAGATATAAAGTTCAAGAACAATAGCTAGAATAAATAAAAAACACTAATCAATAATTGCTAAACTAGTGAAATAAAATATTAGAGAATATAGTGGACAATAGTTAAAAGTTAAAACCAATACTCCTTATAAGCTGAATGTTCAGAAGACCACTAGCGAGTTCTGTTAATATAAGCTGAAGGTTGCAATTAATATAAAAAGAAAAACAACAATACCAGTTCTGTTAACCTTTGATTAAAGAATCTCAAATGTCATCACTTAATGTGCAGTTGAAGAAGCAACATACATCACCCTATTTAAAATAATATCACATTATTTAATTGCAACAATTTTTATCAAAGTAAGCAAAATTATATGGGAATAAATTACACAGTACCTCATGAGCAATTTGAATATCAAAATCTTCTTCTGAATCTAATATTCTTCAGAATCATTTAAAACAAAAGCATCAAAATCTGAACCATAACGCTTGAGGGACATGTTTAAGCCATTCCAATATGGTGGGCGTGAGGGCCGAGGGGTTTGCAAAACCGGATCATCATCTAGCTCACTTCTTGGTCACCTATTTCAGCAACGATGTTCTTAATTTGATTCTACAAAGAATGCTAGTAAAGCATTTAATAATCAAAGTACTACGTATAACTTACTTGGCCTGAAAGAAGGGCTCCTTACAAGATGATATGAGTGTACAAGTTTATATGGACAACTTACATAATATAACATTTCAGTGGATTTGGAGCCAGCCTTGGTCCTCGTATATTACCAGTGATAATTCCAATATTCAGCATTGTTTTGTTTGAGAAATATTCTACAAAAAAATCGAAACATAACTTTAACTCAAAGACCCATGAAATAGAACTTGAGAAACACTAAATATAAAAGCTTAGCAGGCCACTAACAATTTTTATCAATCTGGAGAGCATTTGGGCAAACTTTTGCTGAAATCGTAACATCAAGAAAACTCTGAAACTCGTAAGAGAAGAGCACAACAGATATAAATGTTACTCAATCATGATGATGAGTCTTCTATATATGTTTAGTACCTGGCGATCTGCAAGTTCACCTCTTCCTGTGAAATCCACTCGGAACAATGTGATCAACT